CTAACATCCTTATGCGAGGCGAATCTATTACATTCTGAATTATATATCTAAAATTAGTTTGATTTTATTGGAAGAAACAAGAAAAAAGGAAGAAAAAGATATTCATCCTCGCATTCAGAAAGATTTCTATTTTATTACTAATTGCTTAATTATTAAACACAAATGTAACATACATTATCACTAATATACTGTTAATGTACGCTTTTATTTATTATTTAATAGAAATGCTTCTTTAAAAAGGATCGTGGAATATTCTTATACATTCTTTAGAGTAGATAATCTGTGCGACGCATAAAGGTCACATTCTTTAGAGTAGATAATCTGTGCGACACATAACGTGATCTATCTGTTGGTTTGAATGTTTAAATAAGGAAAAAGATATATCCCCCTATAAAAGAGAAACGGAATTTTCGGTTTCGAAATAAAGATAAAATAGGGACGAAATATCAAGACTATGATGAAATATTAACCTAGAGATAAAATAAAATTAAGGTATGAATCATATATTTATAATAACGAAAGAGAGAATTTTGTCGGGATGTAACAGCATAACGATGATCCGTTATAACGTGATATGATTATAACTATGTCTTGAGAGCGTGTGAATGGACGTTTCTCATTCTCAATGTTTATAAATAAGTATAATAGTTAAACAAAATAAATACCAACGCAAAACTTGACGATATAAAAGGAGGGAGTGTAAAAATGGTGAAAATTTCTAAATGACAACTGCATAGGTTTTAAAGGTGTCCATTCAGGATCAATTTTGGCCATATTTTTACACTCCTTCCTTTATATCTTATAAAGCATGGAAACCGAGTAAATATTAACATAAAAATCGACGAAATTTATAATTTATAAAACATATACATTTCCTCTAAATTAAATCATTATGCTGATGCTACTTGCGCGCTTAGCTCATATGGAGGATATTTGCGTGCTTGTTTCCAGGTTATCACAATCGTTATCACAATAACATTAACATCGTTATCACAATAAATTTCAGTGTAATTTTATCATCAAAAAACGAGGTGGGTTCTAGTATCAAATATATATTTGTAATAAAGTACATCTTTTTATGAATGAGATACTACAGCATATATTTTAAAAAGAATAACGCTCATGAGTTATATAACAAAGTTGCACGCAACGCATTTTTTAATTATATAACACAATGTTGCACGCAAACACGCTTAATGCATAAATATAGATGCTTTTTTCTGTCTCATTTATGACGTTCATGACATTTACGGCATTTAGATACGTTATCGTTCTAAGAAATATTGTAGGATGTTTTGCTAACGTCAAAAGCTAGCTTTTGCAGAGATATAATATAACGAATCTTTCTATACAGGGTGTATCTTAAAAAGAATTCGAGATCCCCCGTCTCGCCGATAAAATCGTATCGTCGAAAGTGGACGTGGTACACCACAAATTATAGATGTGAAGAAAAAACTATTTTTCGAAATTATTGATAAATAAATTTACATTATGATGCTACAGCCACGAATTGCAGATAAAGATAATATTATGCATATATATATATACGAGTCGCTCCGGGTGTCGCGTTATTTCATGAAAAATTTAATTTTTAAGGTAATTAATTCGTGTTCGTAGATACTTATTTAATTAATTACCTTACGAATACGTAAGGTTGCCTAAAACTAAGATATGCACTAAAGGTCAAGAAATAAAAAAAGAAGTCAGAAGAAGTTATTTAAAATAATAAATTTTAAATAACCTTTTTCTTTTTTTATTAAAAATGCATTTTAAATACCTTTATTTCTTAAATACGATCGAGCTCCATACATTAATATATTGAAAATTTGATTTTTTTATATTATGTGAAATAAATTAAAATACAATTAGTATTTCGTCGCGGAATTAATGAAACAACTTCTTATATCTACAAGTTTTAGCAACGCGAGTCATTTAATGTGATATCGTCGTAATTACATGGTGATACACCGTGGAACATATTTGATATTATTTTATCATTTCAAATATTTCGTATTAATTACAATGTGCTGTTAAAAGGCAATAAGTAAAAAGAGATTTTTACTAGCGTGGTTTTTTTTACATAATCTTTATTCAATTATACTTTACATGATTGTGACAAACGGGTATCGTCGTACATTTCACGCTTTACTTTTGGCATCTCTAGCACTTGTTCAATCCTATTTTACTTACGGTTCTTTTAAACGTAATTAATAATTATTCGCATGGAGTATTTTTGATGTTTCAACATTATGTCTCAATATTCATTATTCTTTTTAAGTAATTCATATTTAAATAAAGATTGATAAAATATTCTATATATTCTTTACATAAAGATACATATAAATTTTCAATTAATATCGCGAAACAATTTACGCTAAATACCATACAGCTTTGGCTAAGAGTATTAAATATCTTGTTAATCATTATTTAATTTTTTAGTTAATAATTAATTTAAGACACTATTACTGTAAATTATCTGTGTTTTAGAAATTCTTTAAACTGACGTATAATGCTCGATAAAATAACTGTTACGAAAAAATTATTTAAAATAAAAAAAATAAAATAAGTTCCAGAAACTTATTTAAAATATAAAATCGGAGGAATCGATAAAAAACTGATACGTCTTGTTTAAAATAAAAAATATAATTATTCTCTATAATTATTAGCAAATTACAGAAACTTTGAATACATTTTAAACTTTTCCAATCTATATCGTTAATTTAAGGTTTAATTTAGCAAAAACGAGCTAGAGGCCCTCCACCACCGATTTTATCGGCGG